CCCCTACTAAATGTCCTTCTCCTCTTCTATTGTCACTTTAATCCTTCTATTATATATTCTCCCCTTTCTTTTTCACTCATACCACTCCATCTTCACAGTTTCAATCTCCTCCATCCACCACCTCTATCCCCGCTCTCTATTTTGTTTCCTTATTTACATTATATTTCTTACTCCCATTCTCCTTTTTCTCTCTTTCCCATTCCTTCCTCCTCTTTAACCTTTTCTTCTTATTCATAATCTCCCTCCCTCTCTTTTATTCTTTATCCTCTTCCACTTCTTATTCCTTTTGCTTTTTCATTTCTCATCTGACCCTCTCCCATCAGTAAAATCATTTTCTTATTATCTTTATTACATCTCTTACTTAATTTTGTGAATTGTGTTAATTCATTGATTTCTTTTTCTTTTTTGTAAAGGAAAGAATTTTCTTTGTCTCAAGTAAAATGAAATTAATCAAATCCTCCTGATATAATTAAATATAGAAAATATATTTCACATACAAGAGTAAAGAGCTTATTCCTTTAGTCTCAAATCTTGGCTGTATTTAAACAGATAAGATGCAATAATTTCCTTTCTTCAAAATTTTGTATTAACTTTTTTTTTTTGCTTGAAATAATTATCAAAAATATTTGATTACATGAACTTTATTATCAAGTTTTGAACTAGATTCATTTTGAATGCAAAACTATTTTATGATATATTTTCTTTATATCAAATCTCTTTTTATAAGGCATTTGTATTATCAACAAAATTCACAATTGTTAAGAAATATTTATTAAACTGTTGTAAACTTATTTTTTTTCAATAGAATTATTAATCTTTCTTCATTGTATTCTGAGGTCATTTTCAAGTTTTCTAAATTTTTACTGTATATCAATTTATAAATGAATTTTTACAATTGGTGAGGTGCAGAGGTTTGGTGAAGCCTGTGATCAACTCCTTGATTGTATGCCCCTAAGACTCAAGTAGGGGAGCCTAGTTTGGTCTTGCTTATCAAAACATGGATCCACATTCACACCAGCTTGTGGGACTGTGGGGTGCTTGTATAATGAAGTTAAGAGACAATTTAAAATTTCAAAAACTAAATTTTTATTTCACTCTTTGATTGGATGCCCAGGGTAATTTCACCCTCTGTCCATCTTTTGCACACTACTGCTTACAATTTTGTTGCTTTGTTTTTTAATTTCTATTTTGTTATTTTTTTTATTTTTATTCAATTTTGGGGTGGGGGTGGGAGGTTGGTAGGAAACTTCACTTCTTCCCTTTTGTGTCTTTTAGAATTCAATTTCTCTGCATGCATTATAACAAGGAATCTTTCTTGATAATAGAAAAGGTAAAATATCTAATAAATAAATTTCTATGGATCTGAGAAATGAAATGTCTTTATTGTTTGCTATGATCTAGTTTCTACCATTACAATTGATTCTGATTCATTCCATCACACTAGCATCTGCTTTTGGATTGCATCGGTTCCTTTTGATTTATCTACTAAAATGCAATAATCCAAACCCAAGATATCAATAAGAAGAAAGTAGATAAATAATTGCATCATACATTATGTACTTAAGATATTCATTCTTGTCAGTTATATATCTAATGTTACCAATAGTTACTTTAGTTTTGTTTTTTTAAAGATTGTGGAGTTCACAATATAATTTTTAGTATTCACATCAATCAGTACAGAAGTATTTCAGAGAAGTAAATAATCAAAAGAATATCAATAAGGTAATAAAACAATATAAAAAATAATAATGTCAGTATTTGTAGCCTAAATGTTTGAAAAAATAAATAAGAGGAAACTAAATCAGTGTTGTTAATCATCAAATTTCACTTTTAAATGTTCTTCATTCATTCTTAATCAGTTGACAGAACTTTACAATTGCTTTGAATGGCTAACATAATAATTACTTGACACTAACATTTTTTAATTAATAAGAATGGGCTATTACAAATTCTTATGTGAGTGAGACCAAAATGAACTCTTTCTACCAATTCCTTTTTTTATTATCTATGAATTGCCATGACTTCTTTGGAATGATAATGGAGTAGTTTCTGCAATAGTTTTTAATTCCGTTTTCCTTCTCCTAGACTAGATGTCACACAAGACTAGAGATTCCAATATGTCCTACTATTTAACCCATAGTTAGGGAAGAGAGAAATGAATTTATTTGTGCAAGGGAATGCAATAGACTAGAATAGAACTTGAACTTGGCTCACCAATTCCATTTTTTGTACCAATAAGCAATTTGCTGCCAGCACATAGGTTTTCTATAATAAAAAATTGAATGTTCAATCTTTTGGATCCACACTAAATTCTCTATATCTGTTTAAATGCTAATTTTACTAGGGAAATTTTAACATCTACTTACTTTATGATATATCCATTTAGAATATTTGTGGTGCCACTATATATTTAAACATGAGAATGAATTAAAGCTTTGACATTCTTGTTTAATAAATACTACCCCTGGTATTATAGATTACAGTTGTCTTGTATGAAATAAGTGGTACCAGCCTGAGAAATGTAACCTCTAATCTTTTGTTTCTATACTCTAACTATTGAGCAGAAACTGCAAACACAGCTGCAATCATGTCGTATTGCAAAATGCAATCATCCACTGACAAAATGAAATAAATTGATGGTCACAGACATCAAGGAGTTAGACAGATGAAAAATGTCTTCATTTCATTTAACTATGTCTATGTAAGTATAGAATTTGTTTTTATTCATTCTTGCAAATATTTCTGTATTTTTGATGATTTTTCTTTCCATGTTTTTTTTACCTTTTTTTTCCAGTAGATTCTAAAGATAATTTTGAACAAGGGTATCTAAAACTATCTTTATTTAAAAATCAAATTTTAATAAATTCTAATTACTTTTTTAATTAATTATTTTTTGTGGATTTTGTATTCAGGATTTAGGTGCCTTTGCTATTTAGCTTACTATTAAAGACTTTATATTTTTACTAGGAGCATGACCCGGCATTGCCCGTGCTTGATTCAAAAATCGTACGACTCATACAACAATCGCTATCACATGACTTAAAATATTTTTGCCCTTCCTTGCATTTAAAGGAGTGCCCTTTGCCGTGCTGATGTTGCTACATGCCTTACTTCTTGCCTATCTCACACTGCGAATTTTTTCTAACCTCTATACTAAACATTAAATCTGTTACGAAAAAAGAACTAAACACAATGATCACAAAACGATCAGCTTTAAAAAAGGACTCGTAACTGGAAAAACCGAATTAAAAAAGAATGTTAACAACAAATACTTTTTCAAACCCAACCCATTTTCCTGAAATATTGAGACTGGTCATACAACTTGGGCGGGGTTGTTGTTGTCCTTGTTTTGTTAACCCGGTACTTTGGAAACCATACAAAAAATAGGAAAAATGGAATGGAGTTTGTGTATCACTGGCTGAGGACTTCAGTGTAGACCACATTTTTAGCTTTTTGCGAGTGTAAATAAAGGAACACATCCTTGCGCCTGCCGACTCGAGAGAAGGCTACGTAAAGTTGGCCGTGTGAGAAGCACTGCTCCTCTAAGTGTACACCAGTGACAGACAGCGTTTGTCTTTAGGCCTTATTAATTGTCATAACAAAACAGGGTGCGACTGGGAATTGAGATCGTCTGAAAGTGAAGGGTACGTCGGCATCTGACGGATAAAAATGCATCCTTGGGATAAGCACTTGCTGTTCTTTACCGCAGCCAGTTATAATTTTGGCCTCAATAATGTTTGGGTGTAGGGCCTGAATAATCATCCTGGTCCCATTACAGAGTTTCGGTGAACGCAGGTTTCTAAGCAACATAACCGGGATCCCCACTTTAAATTCCAGAATGTGAGGAAGGAGACCAGCGGGGTGGAGGCTGTTTAAGAACTCCACTGGAAAGTTCGCCATTTCAGCGAGGTCTGGAGTTCTGTCAATGGATTTGAAAACGTGCAACACCCCTGGCACAGTTTCCAGAAGCTTAAGGGTTGTCACAGTGGTGTTTTTTGGGGCAAGAGTGGCCCGCCCAGCAAGCCACTCAATATTGTTGTAGTTGGTTTGAAGATCAGGAAAAACTGATTCCATGAGTGTTGCTGGCGTTGTGACCACTGTTGACTGTAGACAATCCTTGGACGTTTACAAATCCATTAGTGTCCGCTGGAATAATACCTTCGCCAATGGCTAATAATGTATTCGAAAATTCGGCGGACCCAACATCGCCAACAGTGGGCCAAAGTTGTGACGATTTCAAACGCGTCGGCCCTTGTCCCCTTAGGTACAACGGGGAGGGTCTGGCGAAAATCACCGGATAGAAGGACAGTTATCCCTCCCATAAAGTCATTGGAGTTTCGAATATCCTTCAGAGAGCGGTTTACAGCCACGAATGCAGTTTTGGGACTGACAGTGCACTCATCCCAGACGATACATCACCTGAGTACCTCCGCTAGACCTGATTGCTTGGCTATACTGCATACAGCTGTTTCTGCCTTCATCAGGTCAAGCGGAAGTTTAAACGTTGAGTGCACTGTTCGGACACCCGGTTGTAATGTGGCAGCAATGCCTGAAGACGCTACTGCTAGCGCCACTTCCCCATGGCGCCGAATTTCTGCAAGAAGCAGTTTTGATACGAACGATTTTCCCGTTCTCCCAAGCGCGTCCAGGAAGAAAATTGATCCTGTATCCTGCCTGGTGGATGCAAGAACCGCATCGTAAGCGGCCCTTTGGTCTATGAGAAGTTTTGGCTCATTTGTTGTGACATAGGCGTTGAGCTCCTCAACAGAGTAGGATGTCTCCCGCACAATCTCAGGTGAGAGACTGGAGGAAGTCACACGATCTGGCGTTGGAAGCCCAATAGCTGCGAGAGATTCCCCTCCCCCCATTTCAACAAACAGGTTCTCAATGATTATAAGCGCCCTGTTGTAAATTTCATCGTTGAATGTAAGAGCCATTGTTGGACACAGCAGTTGCGCTTCCCTGAGTATGTCTTCGGACAAAAAGTTCTTGTATTTGTCTCAAAGTGATTTGGAATCACTGGGTTCGCACATTTGTAAGATTGTGGTGAAGAGGTGGCGCAAAGCAGAGGGCATTTTTAAAAGAGCTCCCTCAGCCATTGTGGCATCCCACTGGCTGTCGTCTTCCAAAAGGCCGAGACGGAGGCAGGCCTTACGAAAAGTGTCACATAAAACTCCATTAACCGTCCGTAAGTTATTGTAGCTCGTTGGACCACTAACCTCGTGCAAAAGGAGTCGCAAATAAAAACATTCCTGTCGCGATGGGGGAACCGTGAATACCCTTCCGAGTGTGGCGTCTTTTTTGACACCTGGATAGCCCTCGGTTGCTGGGAAGCGTTCGTGGATGGGGAAGCTGAATATGTGCCAAGGGCCCTCTGTGATGCTAATGACGCGCCCTGCAAGGAAGTCCTGGATTTCGTCTACGGAACCTTCCTGCCTAATACCAAACATTGCAGCATCAGTCCCTTTGTTGATGTACTTGCATACATACTTGATGGAGCGAACTGAATGGCAATATTCGACATTGATGTGCACATTGAACGTTTTTGTTAGCGGGGGACAGTATGGCACTACCTATCTGTTATCCACTTGGTGGCCCTTTACCACGGCTGTAAATCCTCCCTCAGCGGGACTCCTTCGCCGGTACAGTGGATAATCATCGCTCCCTGTAATGGTTTCGCTCACGAAATCTCGTGGGTACTGCCGGGTGCATTTGCCGTCGCTGTTGTGACAGCTGGTGTAATGCGACCCGCAGGGACCATGAATCATGTTGGTTATCACTATTTCGTACAATTCAGGGTCAGCCGACAGATCAGGAATTTCAGCAGAAATAAGATGATCGATTTCTGTGGCCTCAATCTTGTCGCACAGCCAAATTAGTATATGTGCGTGAGGCAGGCCGCGTTTCTGCCACTCAATAGTGTGCATGCGACAGCAAACAGCCCCCAAAACCTGGCCCTTTTTAATCACATCCATTAGCTTTCCCAACTTCAGATGGTAAACGCGCGCAATGAGGTCTGGACGGTCGTAGGCCGATTGCCCTGGCATGAGTTCTTTAACAATTGCGTACCATTTTGGGTTACACGTGAAAGTTATGAATAGGTCTGGTCGGCCGTACTTACGAACGTATGTCATCGCGTTTTGCGTCCTCGCGTGCATGTATCGTGGACTGCCTGTGAACGTTGCAGGTAGTATGCACATCTTATATTGAATGGATCAGAGTCATTTAGTAACGCACCACGGAAGTGAATGTAAGAGTCGCAGCGCAACTTGGTCTGATTCAATCTAATGTAACCGAGTCTTTCGGATTCCATCTTAGCATGTCTACTATGAATTGATGGAAAAGTTGCCGACTTCGATGAAGATGATTGAATGCACCCTCATATACCATCAATAGGTAGGTGTAGAAAGCCCTGCAAGACACTGTTTTTAAGGTGGACCCATTTTGCAGAATGCCAAAGTGGTACCCATCTTCTCCGTAAGGGAAGAGAAGTAGGTATTGCAGTGCATCGTAGGGCCGGTGCGTTTCACTGATTCTTCGGAGCCCACTGCCGCGCGATTCGATAACAATGTCACGTCTGTTGTGCTGATCACCGCTGACAATGACGGAAACTTCGTTACTTGCGGGAGCATTGTAACGACGTTCGTGCTCTCCCTGAGGCCGTTTGTCAGCATCAATTACAATAATGAAATCAGAAGAAGTGGTATTTTCGAGAGCATGCTTAAAACTGCGGACATAGCTGTTTATCTCGTGGGGCATTTGTTGGAGACACATTATGATATCCCTGCGAGGATGATTGTCCTGGCCTGTATCGTTCTCGGGAATAATGCCTATGCGGGCATCTGCCTGTTGATTGTAATCAGCTATGAAGTATATTTGTAGAAAGGCCGAATCAGTGACAGTTTCCGGCAAAAGAGACACAATCTGGTGGTAAACCTGACCTTGAACCTTGAAGGTGGGATTCCAACCGACTTCGCGGAAGGCATTACCACCAAAAGAGGTCATCTGGATGGCACAATTGTGCTTTCTGATTTTTGCGAGGAAATATTTGGAGTCTGGACTGGAACCCTCCAACAGAGCTTTCAACGGAGCAGGTAGCTCTTGAAAAGATGGCAACTGTACCTTACCGTCTGAACAACACAAACCTGCAGATTCTCCAGGCCATTTTTTGGCCGGTCTTTGCGACCGGAAAGCCTCAAAACTGTCTCATAGTTGAACACCAGCTTAAACCAAAACTGCTTTGGTGGGCTACAGAGCCATTGCTGTGCATGGCGGCGCTGGTTAACAGTCTTCAACCTTTCAGTAGGTTCTTCTACAGCTCTAGCAGCGTAAGTTGAAATTGCATCGCGTTGCCGCCTTGTGCGCTTTTGCGCGGAACTTTCCGTCGCCCTTGCAGCAGAAGTTGCAGCGGCGTAGGCTGCATGGCGTGCGATTTTCTCGGCCATGGATTCCTGGGACCGTAGAATGGACGTTGCCACAGCTTTCGCTGCGTTACGTGCGGTTTTCTTAGCCGTGGTCTCCTGGGACCGTCGAATGGAAGTTGCAGCGGCGTCGGCTGCATTGCGAGTCGCTTTTCGATGTGGACTCTGTCGAGACCGCAAAAGCGCTTGTGATGAAGCCGCTTTTTTGTTGTCTTGCAAGCGTTTAGGTAGTTTTCTCTTACTTTTCAACGAATATGTGTAAACTGATTTGCAGTACAAACGGTAGTTACGCTCACCAAGCGTTTCATGTGACAAAACATACTGCCTCCGTTGAGATTGACTGGAAAGCCTCAAAGCGGCCTCTACCTCGGTTTCCTCCTCCCGCTTTCTCTTTGTCGCAGAGGCTCTTTTAGAACGCCTGCTAAAGTTGCCTCGCCATTTTATTTTGGCACGCTTAGCAAAGCTGCCGGGTCGGTCATCGCCACGGCACTCAGAAATGTGCAAAGCAGAGGTTGAAGTAGACGCCAGCTGCTTCTCCCCCAAGGAGGTGCACTCAATGGAATCCTGCTCCCGTTTCCCCTTAGCAGGTGAGGCTTTTTTAGAACGCCTGCTAAGGTTGCCTCGCCTGGGTGTTTTTGCTGCCTTTGCAGAGGTGCCGGGTTGGTCATCGCCACGGCACGCAGAAGAGTGCAAAGCAGAAGTTGACGCTATATGATCATCTGTAACCGGAGTTATTATGTGCTCATCCGCAGTCGCCTGCTCTGCATGTGTAACGTTAACGGTATTAGGGGTCTTCAGTTGCTGACGTGCGGATGTTCGTCGTGTAGGAGCCATTTGAATGGTTGTAGAAATGCTGAGTAAGAAAGCGAATAGAAGTTTTTTGCCGAAGCTGAAGCGGTGCAACCTCGTTGTATACGAAACCTAAAAATGCAGTGGAGCGGTATGGAAAAATCTTCTCCTAGCTATGGGTCGTGCTTTCTGGCAGCACGAAAACGTAGCTGTAGGAAGAGGTTACGCAACCAAAACGTTGAAGCATTGAAGGTTAAAAAGTAGTGAAACACTGAGGTGTACTGGGCCGCGTAGTAAAAGCAGAAGAGAAGTAACTTGCGACAGCAGTTAACTGTCTAATAGCAAAACTGAACTACGAAAAGATAGAAATAGGAACGCTAAGATGGACTGGGCTGCGCAGTAGAGGCAGCACGCGGAGATAAAATGGGTAATGCAAACGTTTAAGCAAATAGGTAACTTGCGGTAGCAGGAAGCTGTCAATTAATCCAAGGACAGATGCGTTAATGGCGATCAAATCAAGACGTGAGGGCGGATGCAGCCGCGCTGAAGGTATTTAAAGGAAGCGTGACTTGTCATTGATTGATGTAGCCTGGACAATGGTCATGACTTAGACCAATGAATGAGTTCACGCAAAATGGAAGATGCTAGCGCGCATTCACGCACGCGCGCATGATTTGGCAAGCGCAAGGCTTGGCCGTAAACGGGGTTAAGCTGCCTGCTGCATATGCAGCTTGACTCTAACGCACGTGATGCCGGCGATGAGAAGCTGCAATGAAGCGTTTGCTCGTTTGGTTTGTGCGACAACGAAAAGCCGTTAACCGTTTGCCGGCATTAGCTTTGAAATGGATTAGGAGGAAGCCCTGTTGCTTTAGCGCAAAAACTCCTCGTCAGGTCTGGGTTGCGGCCTGGGCTCGGTGAAAAGGTTTAAAGAATTGGAAAATGGACTGGTGGAACCATTTTCACTCAGCACGTATGCGGTTTTTTTTTTTCAGTAAAGACGCGAATAAAGGAATTGCTTATTTTGGTAAGATGCGACGATTAAAGCAAAAGTGTTGACAAAGTCGAATATGTCATTTGTGGCTCAAAGTCAGACCTGGTAGCAGGTATAAAAAAGCCGAATTTCAATGGCTCTGCACCCATTCCAGAATTTGAGGTCAAATGTTTTCTTCCACTCCACTGCACGCACTAACCTGTTTCTTCCCGCGCATAGCGTGACCTTAAATTAATCTGCATTTAGGAAATACCCAACCGGAAAAACATTTTTAAGGGTTGACCGATTGTCCATTTGCACTCTGTTTGGGGGGCGCTCAGAGTTGAAACTTCACATGGTGACTCCCAATGGCCTCCTCATAAATCCGATCGGTTTTCACTAAAAACCGACATGCGGTTCAGGTGCAATCTGGGTGTATCGGCTTTTGGGTTTTATCGATTTTCCGCGCTGTTTAGGGGTCCGTGGTCATGAAACTTCTGGACAACACTTCTAAAGGTAGACTCTAAGAGGGTGTCACATTTGGTTGAAATGCGATCATTCCTTCTGTAAGCAGATTTTTTCGATTATCGATTTTTTCGGAACCTGAGTCCGAACTGAAAAATCGGGCTGCGTCATGTCCTTAAGGCAGCCATTTGCAAACTTGTGGTGAAAAAATCGGGTGAGAAATGCGGCCTGGGCGAGGTAACAACGCCCACGACAGACACACAGACAGACAACATGAGAAATATAGATAGATAGATAGATAGATTACAACTAAATATTGAGAAAAGTCATTTTTTGTTGCTTTCACTGGATAACATGTCATATTTGTACTTTACCATATATTTCCATGTATAAGGTGACCTATAGATAAGAAGTGACCCCAAATCTAGGTAAATTGTTGTGATTTTATCTGATATCTATAATATAAGATGACCAACTGGAATCTTGATGGCAAAACTAAAACTAAAGATGTTTATGATGATCTCTTGGATACAGATGGTGATGATGATTATAGTAATTTTGAAGAGTTTTACTTATGTATGTGGGTATCTTACGTTTTTCATTCTGTAATGAGAAATAATTTCTCATTATTTTTTCAGTGTTAAGCAACAAAACATAATGCATGTTTTGTTGCTTAACACTGAAAAAAAAACTGCAAAATGTATGCTATTGATAAGTAAAGTTTGCATTTTATACTAAGTGTTGTTATTATTTAACACCACAATGACAATGAATTTTAATTAGAAATATAGATTGTATGTTAACCTGAATGTTGTTATTTAACACTACTATGAGAAATAATGATCGATGTGAATGCACCCATAACTCTACAAATCAAGAAGGAAAAATTTGTTTATATTACTTGTGTGTGTTGCTCAGTGAAACTTTTGTAAATTGTTGTGTAATCATCCCTTGAATATTGCATTTCAATGTAAAATCAACAAGTAAAAGTTGTTTTATTACATTTATAACTGAAGTACAGCATTATAATGTGTATTGTTTCAATTAGAAATATTTATATCAGTAGTTATCATACCAAGGTAATCGTTAGCCTACCGCTTTCTATGACACAAGCATACTAGCCTACTTACCAGTGCCAATACACTGCAGGATTTAAGGTTAGCTTTTTGTAATTGTTGTATTAGACAACCCCCTATTTTGGGAGGTAATTTTAAAGATTTAAAGGTTGCCTTATAAATATATGGTATGTATTAACTTTTGTTTCAGATGTCATAACAGCAGATACAAGAATTGAGATTCTGGCAATTTCTAGGTATTATTTTAAAATGAGTCTCAAAGCCCATGGTAGGAAATTAAATAATCTCTGAATATGTTGCTTAAAACTGGTTTCATCATTTTAAGATTGGTGACATGTCTTTTGAAACAAAGTCCAGAAGTGGATGAGCATCAGTTGTTGGTTACAATGCTTTAAAACTCAAGGTAGAAGAGATGAGCAGCATCACTTGAAAACTTTCAAAAGAGCTATGATCATAAACATACTGGAGCTCACAATAAATATACAATTGATGTACACTCATATGTCATAACTATTTTAAGTTTAATGTTTCTAATAAAAATTATTTGTGGATAATTTTAAATAACCTTATAATAAACATTGATAGAATCACTACTTGAATGATTATTTATAGTGAGATGCAGCTGAATTGCTGTATTGAAAAATAATTGTCCTCAACATGATGGATATTCTGAGTGCAAGATAATGCTCTTAATTGTAAGATCTTAAGTTGATAGAGAACATTTTTTTTGTTGGGAGAAGAAATAGAAAAATAAGGTTAGTTCATATTACAAGAACACGTAGAAAGCTTAGGTAACCTGTCACCATTAAAAATTTAATTTAATTTTTAATATCTAGAAAAAGAAATTTTATAATTAAAAAAAATCCTAAATTAACCATATAAACAAAAATTTATTATTTGATTTTGTTTATGTTTGTATATTAGATGTGTCCAAATGTTTCCAGTAAAAAAAGTGGTTTCAATTGTGTGGGGAGAATGAAATAAAATCAATGAATAATATAATAATTAATAATAAAAGAAAAAGAAATATATTTTCCCATGATGCTATAAGTATAGGGAATATGATTACCACACTTGGTTTAATGAAATGCTGTTAGGTGGTGCTGGTTAAGTGTATAAAAACACAAACATTTTCCTGTCCCACCCTATTTCTTCTGTGTAGCATCATGTGAAAATTATGTTCCCACTGGAGAAATTCTCATTTCTATGTTCTGTTGATGACTGAACTCTCTTTTCACTTTCCAATGAGTGGCACTTGGACATGTTTCCCAAAACTTCCACCTATGAAATAAATCAACCTTTTCTTTGGTCATTCTATCCCTGCACCAGGCTGACTTGAGTCAGCAACTATAATGGTACATATCATTACTTAACTTATGAACCAAGAAAAAGAAAACATACATCCTATAACCATGTTTAAACCTTCCAATGATAAAGTAATTATGAAATTTTGTTTGGTTGTTCCAACTCTGTGTAAGGCTGACTTGAGCTTAATCATTAATACAATGCTTAAACTTACACTAACTTCTGGACTAAAAAGAAAACAGACATACCCAAAAGACATCGAGAACTTTGTTTCATTACGGTTTATATAAAAACAAATGAATAAAGGGTTGGTGGTAGAAACACAAGCAAGTTGTGTATGCTGCCTCTTCTTCAATTGTTTATCTATGAACACGTACCACACCTATTATATACTAAACAGGCAACCTTTTAGATTTCCATATATGCATTCAGTCCCTAGTTTTCACAAAAAGTGCTGGGAACTTTGCACATACCTAATAAGTTAGATTAAGTAAGATGTTTTATGTCTTATTCTTAACAATTTTTTTTTTATTGGTTCTGAGGCAAATTTATTTAACTTTTTTTCTTTTACTTTTTTTAACTTTACTCATTTCTCAATTCTAATGCTAAAAAGCTACAATTCAAATGCAAGTGAAAAACCATTTATTTTGAACACCAGCCCGCTCAAAATCTTAGATCTGCCCTCATATTAAGAGACAAGTTCTTAACAGTAGCAAAAAATATATATCTGGTGTTTGAATAACAAAAAATAACTGAAAAAAAAGAAAGTCACAATATTTTATGTAAATAAAAATATTTATTATAAACATATTCTGTGCATTTAGATTTAAAATATGAAAAGTTAATCTGATGAGGAAATCATAAACACAGTATTTTTTGTGATCATATTCATTTTCAGAACTTCTATCAATATAAATAACCTTCATGTATTGCTAAAATGCTTATTCCTCAATATTTCATAGATCCTATTTATTTAAATAAACAAAAATTTGTCAGATTCACAAAATGCCATAACATATAAAAGTCATATTTTGTATTTATTTTTGCTTTATTTTGCACAAAGAGAAATAAATGATCTTGTTCTAAATTAAATCCTATTCTCATGTTTTCTTAAGAAATTTGATTACAACAATGTGAGATTTTTTCCTCTTCAAAATGCATCATCTCTAAATTCACTATACTGATACTTAAGTTAAAAATATAATCTTTGTTGAATTCTATTTTTTAAA